AATTAAAATTAGCTCACAAATGGAATTTACTTCCTTTCCTAATCCAGCTTTCAAGCTTTGGTTTTTGTTTTCTGTACAATATTTTTCTTTCTTTCTTTCTTTTTCTTTTTCTTTTTTTTTTTTTTTTTTTTTTGGTAAGGATCACAAATATTTTTCTTTCATTCTTTTTCTCTCTTTCTTCCTTTTTTTTTTTTGGTAAGGATCTGGAAGCCTGTTAATATTTAATTGGCTTTGAAATGATTTACACATCAAAGTGTTCACCCAATTGTGGTCTCTTAAAGAGCCCTGCCACTGGAGCATCCGACTGGCTCTCCAAGGTCCTGAGTGTGGCACATCATTAGGACAGTGACCATGGAAGGAAGTCAGGCCATCACTTCTTGGAAACTGAAAGCCTTCGAAACTGGTTAATTGGACCACGTACATGTCTTTCATCTACTGCTGAGGTGTCACACATTTAAGCTTGTGTCCTTTTTTATTAAGAAAAAATAATGATTCATTAATCACACTCTCCTAGAAAAGGCCTTAACTTGAACTTCTTGATTTTTAGTAAGGAATCTTGTCAGGTCAGTTCTATGTATTATGGCTCAGCAGGCCTGGAAAAAGGAAACCGCAAAGGTCATTTTGCTTGTTACACTAGATGAAATCAGGCGCTGGCCATTGTGTGGTTAATAGCAGCCTAGGTAATCCCCTTTGGCCACCAGGATATCGAGCTTGGCCATCTGTCCTGACTAGATGACTCCAGAACTGAAATCACGTACATTCACTTTGTAGTTTATACCACGGGAGCTAAAACAAAGACACATCCAGGGGGTTTCCAGCCATCAAGTTTACAGGCTTGTAAGGAGAGCTTTGGTAAGTGAATTGTGATACTATCCTTGAAGGATGTTACAACAAAAAAAGAATATATTTCTGCTCCTTGCTTAAAGGTATAACTGCTGCTTCACTGATTCCTCACATCCATTTTCATCTCCTGTTTTAATCTCCCCCTAATTTTCTGTGAGCCCCTCTTCTGTCCCTTCGAAGCCACACTCAATCACTGATGATGAGCTTTCATAAAATAAAAATCTTCGTGTTGGGTTTTCAAGCTGTGTTGCCCACAGCCTCGGCAAAAATTAAACGAATAGAATGAGAAATGAACTCTTGTAGCTAAATAAATCTGAGCCGTAGCATCACCCATGAAGGAGCCAGACTGAGCTTTGTCCACAGTTCTTTACCACTGGCCCTGATGAAATGACATCTTTTCCTACAACCTGAAAAAACCTGTTCATCTCTGAGTGCATGCTATAGCATTTAAACCTTAATGCACACAATTTTGGACAATATTGACATATGGTATTTGAATTTGCCTCCATGCCATTTTTAGAACATAAATTAATATTGGAACTCTAGATGTATCTGGGGAAAAATTAATCCAGGCTTTTCAAAGAAATTGAAAAGACCAACTTTAGTTTGCTTTTAATTACTTTCAGCTGCAATCCCACGTTATCCATCTCAATCTCCTGGTACTAGAGAGTTAATGTTGACGTTTGAGCCAAACAGATATTTCTATTTTCATACACCATTTTAATGAGAATTCAGCACAACGAACTTAGAAAAAAAATCAAGATTTTATCACTACACTCTAGGGACTTGTACTTAATTCTTTTTTACTGGAGTTTATAGAAAGATTATTTTAGCGTGAAACGGGTTTACCAGTTTTCCTTTCTGTAGGCGACTCTCTTGAGTCTCTAGGCTCCCAAAACAGTGGAGCACAGAGGGGCAGAGCCTCTTGACTATCAAATGGATGGCCTGATCAGTTACTTACCTGTCAATGTGACATCTGTGCTTATTATGTAGGTGAGAACAATCAAATAACTGCAGTTTCAAATGGTTCGTGTTCATTTCGGGTTTTGGTGACATTCAGGAGAGCACTTAGCTGAGGAACCAGATTAAGTTTCTCAGCCTCTTTGTGGAAGATGTGTTAACTCAGGTCCTGAGAGTCTGAATATATACAAAATCAAAACACTGTTAAACCCACATAGCTTAGACAAAGTGTATTTCATCTGTTCTGCATGTGCATGCGTGTGCTCTGAATTCAGTCCTGCTAAAATGACACCCTGAGTGACAGCCTTTCCCTGAATCTGAGGCAGAAAAGTGGAGAAGTCTGCCCTTGGCTGTCACCACAAAACATTCAATTTTCTAGAGTAGTTGTCATGTTTATCACCATGTCAGTGAAGTTTTTGAAGTAGGGGTGAAGCAAGTAAGAACACAGCTGCTTCTGTGGGCAAGCAATATTTCACTTTTTAAACATCTACTTGATATAAATTATTAGTCCCCCTGCTACTAGACCAAAGGGAAATTCAAACTTAGTTATCATTGGTTATCCAATGATAATCTCGCCTTCCCCCAGAATTATGGAAAGGGTTAGAGTCTCATGAAATGCTGTGGATTTGGGGAGCACTCAGTAGTTCACAGACATGGTCTGGCCCTCACCATGGTCCCCATGGGCCCTCAGGACAGAAATTACACTGTACTCATATATAATGTGAATTTCATCAGAGCTGGGGATCCTGTTCCCAGATACTGATGAAGTGCAAGAACAGGCCCCCTATGTCAATGGACCCCACAGAGGACACACTGAGGACAGCCTTGCTGTGCTGACTCCACTTATAGGGGCCTGCCCCTCCCAGCCCTTCTGGACTTTTAACAGAGTCTCTTCTGTGACCTGAGGCCTGGGTTGTAAACATCTCTAAGCCAATGGGCAGAACACAGTCAGGATTCTTAGGGAAGAAAATTGGGAGATAAGATCCAAGCCACTAAGTATATCATCTTGGACTATTTATCTTGCCACAGGAAATTATAAATTAGTAGTAGCCAGTGTGATGACAGGAAAGCAGTAAATCTTACTTATCTGATAGAGTAGTCGCTCCCTATATGTGGCTATTGATGAGCTAAAATTGAAAATTCCATTCTCCAGTCAGCTTGCCACACTTGAGCACCCATTATCACATGGCAAAAGCTGCCATGTTAGAAAGCGCAGGTAACGAACATCTCTGTTCCTTGAAAGACCTGATACAAAATGCAATGCGTGTTTTTTCCAGTAGCAGTTGAGGATGTTCCCACTACTCTCTTAGCTGATATTCTCAGCTTGGCCTATTCATTTGTTTAGTGACATGTGAAAAATTATTTGTTTTAAGTGGTGGTTAAATAGACACCCCATGAAACTTACCATTTTAAACAATGTGAAGCATACAGTTCAGTGACAGCCCCATCACATTGCTGTGTAACCACAATCCATCTCTGAGTGCTGTTTGTCTTCCAAATTGAACTTACATCCTTTAACCAACTCCTCATTCCCTCCTCCCCCACCCCCAACTCCAGCAACCACCAGGATTACTCTGAATTGAGTTGTGTTTACCTTTTGGCTGTTCTCAATATTAGTATTCTACCCATCGGTGTACAAATATCGGTTCTAGTCCCCATTTTCAGGTCCTTTAGAAAATACCCAGAAGTCAAATACTGCATCACCCCGTAATTACAGGTTTAATTTGGGAAGGACTGCCGTGGCCTATCACAGTGGCTACATCATTCTGTGTTCCTACCACCAGTGCCCAAAAGCTCTTCTTCCCTACCCACATCCTCTTGAAGCTGACACAGATTTTGACAGCCACTGATTAATTACTTCTCTGTTTCTTTGCTTTAATTATATGATGCTCAGGGGCCTAACTTACAGGAATTGTGTAGGATTGACCTTCATTATTTAATAAGAGAAGGAAACGGTGGAGAGCCTGTGGGCCGTGGGGGCTGCAGTGCACAGACCCTCACAGCCATTCTTGAGAGAGCATCCCCCTGGTTGATGTGGTGCTGAGTAGTGGACCTTGGCCTGTGGATTTTTGCCTTCCATGTGGCCCAACGTGTCCCTGAGGCACTCAGTCCCCTGATGTAAGACTTTCTGTTTCTTTCAGTGAGGCTGGGGAGTTATCTCCTGGACATGAGTCTTGGATTTTATGGAGACACAAAGTATAACTTCTGTTATGGCTCCATTTCCCCAGGGCGGGTGGCAGGGCAGGGAGGCGAGGGGAGGCCATGAAAGGCTGGTTTGGTGCTGTGCACTGGAATGTTAACAAACTAGATGACAGCCAGCTGGCAAAGACAGGACTGCCTGGAGAGACTGAGCCTGAGAGTGAGCAGAGGTGAAAGAAACCTGCTGGAACTTCACCCACAGCCAGCACTGGCAAGTGAGCAGAGCCAGACTTCCTCAGTTCAGTAAATGACTTTGTTTTCGAAATGGGATATCAGATAGGAAACAAGTACAGGATGGCTGTGGTTGCCTGCAGCGGGCTCTCCATCCAGGCATGTTCTGGTGGAGGCCTACTTTAACGCTCATTTCTTTTTTTGGTCTTCTTGCCCCGTGAAACTGCGAAGCTATCCCTTGATGTTATCTTCATTTCAGCCCTAAATAGCATTCCCTGTCTGGAGAAATGGAAACAAGTAAATGATTGCTTGGGAACTGGGAATAAGAGGCAGGTGCTGGCTGGGTCTGGCTTTCGGCTAAGGAAACGCAGGACCCACCGTAGGTAGCTGTGCTGGGCTCCATTCCCAGCCCTACACCTGAGGACTGTTGAGGATAAGATTTTTTTTCTCTCTCATCTAAGAAAGGGGGTGACAAAGAGGAGGTCTCCCCAGCTTTAAAAAGAAGCCAGCAGCGGCAACAGGCCCAGGAAAGCCCCCGGTGTCTTGTGATTTGGTGTCTGAGCCGGAGCCTTATGAGTGGGAGGCGCTGTTGGAGGCCTGATTTTTGTCCTCAGACTTTCGGATTGGTTGGGTCTCCTTTCTGTCAAAGTGGGTAAGGCAGGGCACTGTAGTCTGCAGAGAGTCACTGACACCTCACAGAGCAGTCCCATCAGCCGGGCCCACGTGATCGTTTTGTCAGTATGACTGTGCTGTCTCGTGCAGTAAACGTCGTCGTGGCTCTTTGGGGTGCATACAAAACCAACTTTTCTTTGGCTTGTCCTCTCCAGGGATTTAAAATTGGATGGAGGGAGACAATCAGCAGGGGCCATGAGCTTGAAAGAAATTATTGGCCTGGAAGGCGTGGAGCTGGGTGCTGACGGGAAGGTAAGGTCACCCACTTCTAGTCAATGGGGCTGTGCTGATACCACAAGGGCTGGGAAGCAGATGCCGCCTGGCAGGTCACAAACCTCACTTGTGGTGGAGGAAAACAGGTTGGGGCACTTTCCTGGGTGTATGACATCCCCCCACCGTGTCAGAAGGGATCCACCAAGCCAGTGAGCCACCTCTCTCGGCCAACGCTGTTTACGATGGAGTGTGGCCTACCTGCCAGCGTCTTCTGCAGGTGCACACGTGGCGTGGTCTGGGATGGAGTGACAGAAGTTCACAGCAAAACAGCACTGCCACTACGAGTAGGTTATTTTGGATCTTCACCAGCGTCCCCCGGCCTCAGATACTACATGCCAGTCATTAGGATGTCTGGTCCCTCTTTCAGCCACAGTTCACTGCTGAGTCGGAGTCTGAGGGATCAAGGTTGAAAGATGAACCTGACCTTCTTGTGCTGCCACTGGACGGTCTTTATAAGCACTCCCAAAGCTTTTTATGGAAATGATGCAAGTGTTTCTTTGGGGAAGATGTCCCAACCCAGTTTGCTTGCTGCTGACTGGTGGGGTAGCAAATGGCCTTCCCTTTGTGCCTTCCCCTGAGCAGCTGATCACCCCTGTGTCTGAGTGGCATCAGGCCTGAGCTCTCACGGTTGGGAGGCAATGCCCAGTTTCCCCGAGCAGGTGAAGTGAAAGGCACTATGTCTGCATTCTGAGAGCTCAGTGCTCACAGAGTAACTAGGGAGTTGGACTAGAGATGAGGGTCATGGAGAACCTCCGCCGACAAGGCCCACAGGAGACCACAGTCTCTCGTCGGAAACCCGTGAGATGTGCTATGTTGTGGAATTTTTCACTGGGTGGGTTATAAAGTGTAACTGGGTCTGTGCCTCGTGGATTATGCAGTATCCCAACAGCTGAGACAGTACTTGTTTATGCTAAGTGGCATAACTTAAAACTAAACAAGTCAGTTGGGTTTAGTCCTTGGCACAATTTGGCACAAATGAGCACCAGAACAAACTTCATTTTTCAGATCTCATTGGATTTTAGAGCTACAGATAAAAGACTACGAACCTGAATGTAGCTGGGTGAGAATGTGAGCCCCACATTGCCTGGGAATCATCACTGGCCTGTTTTGGCTTTATTTTCTAGACTGTTTCGTATACCCAGTTCCTGTTACCCACGAATGCCTTTGGAGCCCGGAGAAACACTATCGACTCCACCTCATCCTTCTCCCAGTTCCGGAACCTGAGCCACCGCAGCCTCTCCATAGGCCGCGCCAGCAGCACCCAGGGGAGCCTCGACACAGGTAACCGCAGGCCTGGCTGGATTTGGGTAGGCGGTGCCTCTGTGCACCAGGTGTCTGACCCGGAGACAGGAGCCATTGGAGCTCATGGATGGGCCTTGGGGCAAGCCCCTGGTTTCAAGCTGTGCAGACTCATGAGCAACCTCTGGTTGATCTCTGATGAGAGGCCTCGGTCGCTAGACCCCAAGCACCCACTAGGAGAAATACCAAGACTCCCCTGACCCACACAACACAGCCGACTTCCCCAACTTGTCACCACCACATGGCTCCTCTCCCAGCAATTATCTGATTTGTACCTAAGTTTGTTTTGTTTTTGTTTTTGTTTTTTTAAGGTTTATTTGTGCATATGGAACTGGGGTATAAGCCAGAGGTGCAGGGGCAGTGAGAAGATTTACCAGAGACAGAGTGGGGAGCAGTACAGGCCAGTACAGAGTAGAGAGCAGTGTACTAATGAAGTACACTGCTGAGGGGAGCAGCCGGCAGGTCAGAGAGTTCTGCCAAGCCATGTGGGTCACCTCCAGAGCTGGGGATCAGCTGCAGCTCACTTGCAATGCTGCCTCCTAACCCGCTGCACCACCAGGGAGGGCCCTGTACTTAAGTTTTTGTAGTGTACGGGTTGGGCTTTTCTTCAAGTAATAGGGTCAGAAACACAGATCACAAAGGAAAAGAGCTTCCTTTGTGATTGCCATAGCAGCCAAGTGAGTGGATTCAACCACTGTGGGAAGACTTGTATACTCCCAGCTTTGCCTATAAACCTTTGTAAAAACAGACAGAAGGGCCCTCCCTCATGGTCCAGTGGGTTCAAGAGCAGTAGTACTATGAAGCTATCTGCCACTGCAGCTTGAGTTCAGTCCCCAGCTAGGGAGCTGACCCATATGGCATGACAGATCTCTCCTGTCTCGCCCACTGCTCCCCTCAGCGGTGTATTTCAATCAATACACCTGTTCTGCTCCCCACTCTGTCTCTGGTGAATCCTCTCACCCCACAACACCCACCACACCTCTAGGTAGCTGTGCTGGGCTCCATTCCCAGCCCTACACCTGAGGACTGTTGAGGATAAGATTTTTTTTCTCTCTCATCTAAGAAAGGGGGTGACAA